AATGAAAATATGTTCGTCTCCAAGAAGGTACATGTACTGAGTACATGAAGCACCTTCGTGTGTGTAGCTCTGTCTTTCTTGTGGAAGACTCCACAGAACAACAATGTCCAGCTTGTGGAAACTGAAACTGCCTCTCAGTTGAAGTCGTTCAGGGAAGATATCTATTCAAGACATCATTGATCGATTCTCAAGAACCATCGTAAGAAATTAAATCAAGTTATGTTAGCGATAAGAATGGAGAACTAGACCACAGAAGTATGAGTGTCTTGTTTTGACTGCAGGAAACTGTATTTCAATATTGTGGCTCAACGTAGTGCTTACGCAGTTTACTGCTTCGAACACATCTTCATTCCTACTACCAAAATAAATCTGTAAAATGTATTGATGTAACATTATGGTACATGGTCTTTCTCGTTGTGCTACTATAACGTGTATTATGATATTTGCAATTGTACATGCATGCGAGTACTGTGTACCGTTTACTGTCTCCTTGTCAGTTTTTTTGGGCGATCCTCCACACCTTCATTTGTCCATGTCGTATTTTCCTTATACTTTATTAATTTTGTGTATGTTTAACTGCCTCATAATGCCGATCCTTCTATACAATTGTGGATTGTGGACTCTGTCCAAATTGCTGAACGACAAACTGGACAAATGGCAACGGAGGAAGCTACGCGTACTGCTGCAGATTGTCTACCCGCAACGCATCACCAATAACAACTTATACACAGAAAAAACAATCTCCAGTTATTGCCACATGCCGGCGACGCAGGCTGCTGTGGTTTGGCCATGTGGTGCGAGAGGGTCTAGAATCCGCCTCGTTCCAAGCACTGGAGCTATCAATCAGCACAAACGACATAAAAACCCCGTGGCCGTCCGCCATTGCGGTGGATAGATACGATTCGGCACGACCTGAAGGCAGTGGATCTCTCCGTGGAGAGCGCTCTCCAAGCTGCAGGAGATAGACTAACTTGGCTTGACACTGTTGACAGATGCGTCGACTCTGCTCCTGTCTAACAGGTTCAGGGAAGATGCGAGCTTTGTTTATTATTATTATTATTATTAAGCTTACGTGGAGATAAAAATTTAATCAACGCAATAAATAGAGTAAGCTGCGCACTCAGTACAAACACCATTAGCAAAACTTGTTTTCATGTAAATAACGAAGCTTATTCCTAAACGTTTTCGTCACCATCTCATCAGAGGATTACTGGCAAATAAACATTAGCTCTACACTCAATATACTCTAATAATATACTCTGATGAGATGGCGACGAAAACGTTTAGGAACAAGCTTCGTTATTTACATGAAAACAAGTTTTGCTAATGGTGTTTGTACTGAGTGCGCAGCTTACTCTATTTATTGCGTTGATTATTATTATTATTGTTATTATTATTATTATTAACTGGTTTGAGGGAAAGAGACAAACGGGAAAAGTCTGAAGAAAAAATTGACTGTCACCACCAGGACTCGAACCAGGGACCTTCGCTTGTAGCCAGCGATTAATGTAAGCGATGGAGAAGATGCAAGAAACAACCTAAAGGGTAAGCCAAAAACACATGAAAGAAGAAAAAGGGCAATGGAAAAAGAGATCCTGGTGGTGACAGTCAATTTTTTCACTGAGCTATGGTGTAGTCGTCATGCCATTATTATTATTATTATTATTAATTTTATAGAAATATTCACTCACTACAACTTCTTGTGATTGCTGGTGCCAATGTAGCCTGCTTGTTAGGGGGAGTGCACCGGATATGTATTGATATGTATGTCTGAAGAGATGTTCTTGAACTGGCATGCTGCTTTGACAAGAACTTTGGTTAGATACGGTTTAGAATTGGGTGCTCAATGGCCTGGAGGAATTAATCATGTTTGCGATCAGTATCACCAAGAGTACGGTTCTTCTGTCTACGCATCTCTTCTTGGCTTGTGGATTGTTTGAAAAGAGATAAAATAATAATACAGAAATACCTATATTCTGCCTGTGACTACTCACAGAGAAAGAGTGGTCGCAACTGTACATTCCGCATGCAACCGTTCGCATGGAATTATAGTGGTCAGAACTGTATTCTGTGACCGCTCATAGGGAATAATAGTTTCCACAACAAATCCTGCAGTATGAAGCACTCCGCGAGCAGTCACGAACTGTGTGCTTACACATGCAGATGTATGGTGATTTGTGACTGGTCATGGAGCATTGTGACTGGTAAACTAATTTTGTGACTGGTCATGGGGGGTTTGTGACTGTTTGACTGGTCACGGGGACCGTGATTGGTCATGGGGCCTGGTCATGGGGACTGGTCACTGAGTCTTACATACCGACCGTATTATCTCTAATATTAGCACAGTCTACAATAATAGCACGTCTCTTAGAAGATATTCTAGTCACCGGTGCAAGCGTGAAGCTCCTCGGATCCCAGTGCTCTGGAAGTTGAACACACAGATGATAATACTCAAATCTGTGGACAGCAACTGTTTCGCTCTGTTAGAGGTCCTCAGCACAGAACAGATGATAATACTATTATTGTCCCTGCATGTGGAATTTTCGTTTAGGAGCTGCATCTGCGCCTTGATCCTAGAGGGTGGTGATGTTCCTATGGATACAAAAACTCGGCTTCAAGCCGAGTCTCACGCGAACCGTGAAATTAATTTATTTATGTGGAATTTTCAAAAATTCATTGAATTTATTGCCAATCCAGGAAAGGCAGCACCGGTCCGGAGTACTCCTTGCAACGAAGATCTCCCGGAAATAAATCTAGAATACCATGATAAGCCTGTCTTGTCCGTGACATGGGCCTTGCAGTATTAGTATCATGGTTCGTTACTATGGTTACTAGTATCCGATTCCTAGGTTTCGCCTGCTCATGAGGTTGAACTCCAGGTAGAGTGGTGGTAGAATATGGCGGCGGTGCTTAGTCTCGCCAGGTCACAGGTCTGCAGAGTACTCTATGCCTGTTGTATGTACGGCTGCTCCTGCTGCTGCTGGTCTAATACCCTACACTCAGGCTACAGTGTGTAGTATAGCCGGCTATAACCCCTGCTGCTATGAAGTGTGCAAGTTTACCTTACGTTTCTCAACACCAGATTCCCAATGACATTCGTGACGTTGAGGAAAGTAGCAATATGAATATTCTCCTGGGTTTCATCGTGTAGACAGTGTGTACATGCCGATTGCTACAAGCGATCAAAGGAAGCCGTCAGCGCATCTCCTCCATATTGTTTGGTGTACATGTATTTCCTGTGGTGTAACTGCTAGGTCAGCTTGTACTGTACTGACTGTAGTCCGGGCTGTCCGGGGACGTGATCTGTACTACTGTAGACGTGTTATTATTATTTATTATTTTGCTTGTTCGCGTTGGCATCAACCTGCATAAAGCAGGTATATAGCCTTCGCTTAAGCTGCCATAAAAAAAGAAAGCTCATCCTAAGCGAGAGGGCTAGAGGAAAAGATAACGGTAACGAGATACAGAATACAAAGAAATAGTTCAAATACAATGAGTTAAACATACGTATACAGTTCAAAACAAAACAGAGCAGAGCCGAAGTTAGTAATCGGAGTGACGAATGCGTTGGTAGACGTGTACGACATGTTAAGACAATAAGAGTGGGGATCGGAGAGAGTAAGAACTGTTGTTGAGAAGGTCATGCACCAACCACCTTACGGCGAACCTATGACATGCTCATCGGCATACCTCTCACAACAGCACACCCCTGACTTCATAAAGTGATACTGACACATGTGCTGTTGCGCCAGGCAGCATCTGCCTGAGCTTGGCTGGCAGACAGGAGGACAGCACCAGGAACGGTTCTCGAGGAAAAGAAGCACACGCCATGGGAATACGTAGTGGATGTAAGTACATCGCACGCAAGATCGTCAAGTACTTTGAGTGGAAAGCTAGTTCAGTGAGTTGGCCCCAGTGCATAAGCAAGGCCTAAGGTCCGATACAGCAGCGTCCACCCGGGCATAAGCAAGGCCTAGGTCAGATACAGCAGCGTCCACCCGATCGGCCAAGCACATTTGCGGAAGCGCAGACTGGCTCACGCTCACGTGTTCACGACCACTGATGATTAGAATAGAAAAATGGGCAGCACACAGTACTGTGATGGATAAGAAAGGGATCATCCTCTAGCTCTGCCAGAACCTTGTGCCTAGGCCTAGGATCGAGAACACTAAACTGCTCAGTGGTGCAACGGCACGCATCAGATCTCGTAATCCTAGCTAGTGATCAGCTGGCGTGAGAAAATAGTCAGCACAATGGGCGCGATGAGCAAAAGCTTAAGATCTTGATAGGCACCCCACGTAACTGTGTCGTTGCAGTGTCTGTTCACTGCGGATTCTACTAATCGTACACGGCGCGGTATCCTGCACCGAGTTGGCACTCAAACAATTATTATGTAGTCCGAACCACAAAGATGCAAACTACGTTGTTGTGTTTACCGATTACACGCACTGTCCATGACGTCACCACATACTGAGTAGCGTTCGACGAATCGAGAAAGAGGTGTTATGGAGTACAAGTGAAGGGGCAACAATAACAATTAAATTCGACGTAGCTTGTTTAGACTGTGAAGGGTGTGAAACTGTCATAGCAATTGTTTCCTTGCTCTTGAGCAGTATTGCGTCAACATGCTGACCACGGATGAAAGTTAGACAAAGGGGAATGTCTTTTGCAGTTTCATCACTGGCCTACTCCGTTTCAAGCTGGCATACCATCACAAACCTGATCGGGGCAATTTAGCCGAAACGAGCGGGTCTGCTCTAAGCTACTTCCTATGAATGAATCTGCAGTAAGTCTACCCACTGCTACTAAAAATATACCGAACTCAGAACGGCTCGTTGTACAATGTGCGATCTCTACTGCTATACATTACTGCCGGCGACAGCGAAAGACAAAGGGGTAAAGTAATGCCTGTTGAATGACGTCACGAACACCGTGGACTCAAGCCGGCACTAGCGCATGCTTGCTTCATAGGTAGATTCCTCGCAACAATATAACCCTCTGACAAGCAGAAACTGCACCATTCGTCGAGTCAAAGGCCACGAGTACGCTTCACAACGGGTCATCTCCTATTCTTTTTTACGTTGCGAGACTCCAGCAGTCACTCTCCTGTAATAGTGTGGATCAGGACTATCCTGTCGTTCCGTGGATTCTATCCGTATCTCCCGGACCAGAACTTGCTGCTGTTCTCTGGACAAGCCAGTCACCTCACTTGTTTTGGCTACCATTGTGGTCGAAAAAGTACAGCCAATTTCCAGAGACTCGGTTGGCTGTTTGACACTGCCCTAGTTGTCACGTTCGGAATGTCTTCCTCAAGGAACACGTCAGAAGCAGAAGGCCACCAAGGGATGACGGGAGCTCAACTACCCAGCTACACGATGCAGTATTTTCCGCCGTTGGACTCACAATGTCCAAAGATGCCTACTGTACAGGGTAAGGACGAAAGTCGAACGTTTTGCAACCTAGCGTATATAATGTCTTGGGATTTTTCACCAGTATGCTCTGTACATAATGTCTTGGGATTTTATGTGTTTCCAGTATCGGATAAAAACTTGAGAATATTATCCTGCTAAACATGGTTTCTGCCCCGATATATTATTTGCTTTGTAAATTGTCTAGTTTCTGCTCTCTAGCGTGGATGGGACTTCATGTGTGTGTGTGTGTGTGTGTGTGTGTGTGTGTGTGTGTGTGTGTGTGTGTGTGTGTGTGTGTGTGAAATGGGCTGTGAAATGGGCTGTGAATCACGGCATGGAATTGTCTAAGTCAGTCAGTAGAAGCTGTCGAACACAGTCACTACATCTAATCCCCGTCTGGCCAAGACAGTGTAAATGTTTATCAAGCCTGTTAGAATGGACTGGGATGGAGAGCCCAATAGGATTGTATAAGGATTTAGTGAGCAATTCACCTCCCTCCCCTCACCTTCCCCTCCTATGTTGTCATTATAACTTAGGACATTCCAATTTGGAAGGCTGTTGGAGTGCGCATCCGAGGCTTGCTAGAGCTGATAGCCAGTTAGTTGTAGAACGTCAGTGCCGTCGGTCAGTGTCGTGCAAAGTTATGGCATGAGCTGATTGTTGAGTTACTGGTGGTGTTAGTGGACATTATAGCGTAACTTGTAGCTCCTTGGTAATTTTTCCTTTCTAGAAAATTAAAAAAAATTGTCAGTGAATTTTCTGTGTGTTCATTGCTGTGTATAACCAATCAAAAATGAAGATCTAATTTTCCTCGCAGTATGACTTTGAATTTGGAATTCAACTTATGTATACAGTCGTGCAGTAAGTTTGACTATAGGGTGGAAAGGTGGTAAAATAATAGTTTTATACGATGAGAAGTTAGTTTGTCACTCATGGTAGGATTCTTGGGCTTAGCGAATCTTTGATGGAGAGACTGGGCTGGACAACGATAGGCATGGTGATAAGTCCCTATCCGCCCTGCACTTTGATCTGATGTAGCAGTTAGCGGAATGTACATGTACATGTACATGTACATACTAGGGTGTCAGACCTCAGCAGCTTCGCATGGCCAGCTACATTATCGGACCTTGACAGCCTAGCACGGCCAACCACTCTACTAGACCTCAGCAACCTGGCATCGATCAGGCTCTTGCACAACCTGCCAGTGGTCGGGAGAGCTAGAGAAGGAGAGCTCCTATTTCAAGCAGTTTATATTAAACATGTTCTCGTTATCACAAGTCAGCGAATCTCCTTTTCCTCACGCAGTTAGAATGTCATTTCCTAATTGCAGATCCGGCAATGTGTAGAAAGTAAGCGCACAACACTGACAGTAAAGGTCAAGCAAAAAACAGTAGCAACGAATCAGCTAACTCCCTACAGAGACAGTCAGAATGCTCGGGCGAAATGAGTGCATTTTAGCCGCTGGGTTTACTCACTGTTGCTTATCCTTTCTTGACCCAAAATGCAGTAGTCAACGAGCCGCTTGAAACGAAAAGCAAACAGTACTAATTGCGTGGGAATTTGCGAAGAACTAGTATGATTGCGTGGCAATCGTGAAACTTCGGATCTACTGGTGCCGACAAGCAAATCATCGCCAATGGTATATTTACTGTGCTGCTAATGCTGGTTGAATGCACTAGCTCCGGGATACTGACAAGTGCCGTGCGACCTTTGTAGACCTTTTCACTGCGTTTTGCAACCAATCAAGGCAAAGTCTTCTACTTCGAACTGAGGTTGAGGAAAGGCGGCGCTCAGGGGACATTGCACTGAAACGTTAGGGAGTTGACAGCTGAGCAGAGGATGGCAAATGTACGTTTCTGTGTCACACAGCTGGGCCAATCACGTACTTCTTTGGAGGTAGTCAGGAAGCTGTGTACTAGTACTTGGCAGATTCAGTGCTGTGGAGTGGTTCGGAGGATGGTTGCTAGAAGTCAAGACGGGAAGCTCGCTGTATGACTTTCATTCCTTCCTTAGTGAAGCAGGATCCAGGAGAGAAGCCCCAGCAGAGAGTACGATGAGTGCATCACAGTTTCTATACTGTAGGTCGCCAAACGGCAGGGAGAACGGAGGAACATGTTGTGTGGCTGCAGAGAGAGGTCGCTTAGGGTTCGGAAGGTTTACATCTGCTCTGGGTCTCCTGCATAAAATCAGAAACTGCAAAATACCGTTCCTACTATCTGGGGAATCTCTGCCGCAAGCTGTGTGATAAATGATGTTCTCTTCGTGTTGAAAAATGATGTTCTCTTCGTGTTAAAATCCGGAACTACGATCATGTACATGTAATGAGTGGTCAGGGGGGGGGGGGGGGGTTATTGATCCTGAAAAACATGTGTAGAGTGTAAAAAGAAGCCATCATGTACAGCTGCAAGTCGGTCATGTTTTGTTTCCTATCAAGTTAGTCAGTATCAAGGTGTTCAAGTCCAATAGTAGGCAATACATTGTACTGGTACTAGTACTAGTACTAGCTCATGACTGGGTGTAGACCACACTTGATCGAAAGTGTTCAGGTTCAAGCTTGTGCCTGTTTCTAGTATTGGGAGCCAAGGGCTTGGAAGGAACCTACTTGCTACTCCAGCGTGATGTCATGCTATTTTCTATAGGTAGATAGTAATGCTTGAAAAGTTGAAGTACGTCACTACGTGTACTGTACTTTAGCCTAGTGTAGGTGTCAGCACTAGCCATCATCATCATTATCATCATCATCATTGGAAACGGCCTCTTGTACGGGCTTGAAACGGTGATAACCGAGATTATGTGCAAAGATCGTGATAGATATTCAGGTAAAAATATGACATTTAACAGTTGAATGATTAGTACCAAGTAGATATTAAAATGCTGACTATTTTACCAGATAGATATTGAATGACAGATGATGTTACTTTACCAAATAGTTATTTAAGAAATGTGATGTTATCCATAGTGATATTGTTGAGAGGCATAGCATAAAAATTCACTATGCGGCCAAACGACACTGGGCCACAAAGGAATTCACCCGCCGTCTGTTATAAGACCCTCGGCAACCGTGAAAGCACGTAATGGCCCACCTCAAGAGGCAAAACGACAGGCGGGTACGCAACATACCCATGACAACAGGATCATCATCATCATCATCATCATCATCATCATCATCATCATCATTGGAAACGGCCTCTTGTACGGGCTTGAAACGGTGATAACCGAGATTATGTGCAAAAATCGTGAAAGATATTCAGGTAAAATATGACATTTAACAGTTGAATGATTAGTACCAAGTAGATATTCAAATGCTGATTATTTTACTAGATAGATATTGAATGACAGATGATGTTACTTTACCAAATAGTTATTTAAGAAATGTGATGTTATCCATAGTGATATTGTTGAGAGGCATAGCATAAAAATTCACTATGCGGCCAAACGACACTGGGCCACAAAGGAATTCACCCGCCGTCTGTTATAAGACCCTCGGCAACCACGAAAGCACGTAATGGCCCACCTCAAGAGGCAAAACGACAGGCGGGTACGCAACATACCCATGACAACAGGATATTTGAGATCCTGGCTTCTCTCTACAAAGAGAGGGCAAGAGACTTTAGGAATTGAGTTGTCTCAGGCCCGCTGAAACCATAAGTCGAGAACACCAGTGGGGTGAACGATCCTCGCTCGACATTCACAACGCGGCTGGAATATTGATTCTTTTTTGCCCGTTCATGGGACTTCAGCTGACTCAAGGCTTTTGATCGAGACAACACGGACGCTGCGGGATGGGTAATCCGCACATCAAAAAAGCGTCTTGTTGCCACGACCAAAAGCCCCGAGCCCGCACGTCAAGACGAGCCTCAGTACTTCTGTTGAGCAAAGGCCCTCCTGGTAGATCCTCATCACCGCACGGCAATAATCTAGGCTCGGTCTCGACGTCAACAACACCTGCCTCTCTCAGGAGACCGGCGACAAGGTCTCTCACCTCTCTCTCTCCCATCATCATCATCATCATCATCATTGGAAACGGCCTCTTGTACGGGCTTGAAACGGTGATAACCGAGATTATGTGCAAAAATCGTGATAGATATTCAGGTAAAACTATGACATTTAACAGTTGAATGATTAGTCCCAAGTAGATATTCAAACGCTGATTATTTTACTAGATAGATATTGAATGACAGATGATGTTACTTTAATAGTTATTTAAAAAAATTTGATGTTATCCATAGTGATATTGTTGAGAGGCATAGCATAAAAATTCACTATGCGGCCAAACGACACTGGGCCACAAAGGAATTCACCCGCCGTCTGTTATAAGACCCTCGGCAACCACGAAAGCACGTAATGGCCCACCTCAAGAGGCAAAACAACAGGCGGGTACGCAACATACCCATGACAACAGGATATTTGAGATCCTGGCTTCTCTCTACAAAGAGAGAGGCAAGAGACTTTAGGAATTGAGTTGTCTCAGGCCCGCTGAAACCATAAGTCGAGAACACCAGTGGGGTGAACGATCCTCGCTCGACATTCACAACGCGGCTGGCATATTGATCCTTTTTTGCCCGTTCATGGGACTTCAGCTGACTCAAGGCTTTTGATCGAGACAACACAGACGCTGCGGGATGGGTAACCCGCACATCAAAAAAAGCGTCTTGTTGCCACGACCAAAAGCCCCGAGCCCGCACGTCAAGACGAGCCTCAGTACTTCTGTTGAGCGAACGCCCTCCTGGTAGATCCTCACCACCGCACGGCAATAATCTAGGCTCGGTCTCGACGTCAACTACACCTGCCTCTCTCAGGAGACCGGCGACAAGGTCTCTCACCTCGTTGTGCCTGGCGATTGTGTACCCACCAGTAGCGCAAGTGAGGGCGTGTGCGGGACTGAGATCCACTCCACACACACATTTCTCCGGCAGTCCACTCAATCTGTGACCATACCGGATGCATAGAGCGTCCCGGAAATCAGATTTCTTTAAAATTGTTCCATGCTGCCAGCGGGGAGCCACCGTCAGCCACGAT